AGAGAAGTCGATAAAGGCCGGAGTAGTGGGAAGAGTATATTGTGTACACAAAGGAAAGGAAAATAGATAGAGGAGGTCTGACTTGGGAGAAAACGTCCGCTCAGGAGATTGACAGGTCCCAAGTGACTGTTTGAGTAGCAGTCATGCAAATAGACAGAGAGAGAGCGCATCAATTGGCAAGGTCGGCCTTTGATTGGTTGGACGGCGTGTTGGGTGGTCCACGTCACGCGCACTAGTAGGTCTGGCGACCGCAACGACCTTGAGCTCGAGACAGGTTGCGGCCACGACAGGAAAGCCATACATTGGATAGGCGGCAACCACTACAGGGGCACCACCGGAGACTTGAACCGACAAACCGTTGATTGGAAGTTCATCGATATAACCATTGAACCACGGGTTTGATGCTTTGTCCATTGAGATTAGGAATTCAGGCCTTGACGGAAAAACACGCAACGTTCGGTTACAGGACTCAATCGTCCCGTTCTGCCTTGGAGTTCACTGAACGAATTAACTTCGCTCCTTGGGCAGTGCACCAACCTGTTTAGGACATGGCTGGAGTATGGCGACCAATTAGCCAGAAATGGAACATTGACATATCCCTTTTGGTTGTTGACAATGGTCATTTAAAATATTGTTTACCTGGATTAAATTTGAAGAAGTTAAAGATCACGAGTTGAGCAGGATCGATTGACGTCATACAATTTCGTGACAAACTGCAAAAGGTCGTTTCCTATTAATGAGATAATTAACTGTCCAATTAAGTGTCAGCCTAGAAGCGTGAAACTCGATAGTTAGTGAGAGCGTAAAAACGATAAGTCTTAGATGTGGGCGCCTGCTGATGGGATAGAAGAGAGGGGAGGTAATCGTCATAGAATAGCGGCTCATGTAAATTATTGTGGGACGTGGTTAAAGGGGGGAGCGCAGAGGACAGGGTAGCAGTCAGTCCGAAGATAGGAAGCGTGAGCGGAAATAAGTTTATCGATCAATACAACGGCAATGCAAGATTGATCACATGATCCAGCTGCTAGCTGTTCTAGCTTTCTTGTCCGTATTGCAGCCGGCACCGCAAATCGTAGATGACGCCCGGTCATCACCCGAAGTACGATCTTAAATGTAGTTTTTTTGGTTGACCGTATGGCCAGTGTCCACTAGGTGCTTATTGATTGAACTCTTAGGTATTTTAATTTCCGTCCAGAATAACCACTGTTAAGCTTGTGTTCTTTGCGCTGTTAAACTGCTCATTTACCTATATTCATAGCGACTGTGCGGCTATGGTCTGGCTCGAGAATCAATAAGTAGGCCGAAAAGACGATTGTGTCCTGTA